ACATGGTCAATCACATGCGCCGGCCGGGTATCGGACCGCTGGCCGGCTTCCGCGGCAACGGCACAGAATCCGGTCGTGGCGAAGTCAACCCGAACCAGCTTGAACGGTATATCGAGAACGGCAGCTTCTTCATCGAGCACGTTCCGGCCGAAGCCACGTTCTACAAACCATGGAATTCCGCCTATCAAAAATGGGCGGTTGATCTCGGGTTTTACGACAAGCCTCAACCCTACCTGTTCCAGCTCTATGTCGAACCCCTTCGCCGCATGCAGCTTGCTGCCGAAGGTCATGGCGACAGGCAGCCGCCGGATCACCTGCGCAAACAGATCATGGACCACCTGACGCCCTTCCCTGTATGGCATCCGCCGCTGGAAGACGCGTCGGTCGATACCGAAGACTATCCAGTCCATGCGCTCACCCAGCGGCCGATGGCGATGTACCACTCCTGGGGCAGCCAAAACGCCTGGCTGCGACAGATCCACGGCCGGAACCCGCTTTATGTTCCGACGAAGATCTGGAAGGAAAACGGATTTGAAGACGGTGACTGGGCAAGGGTCACGTCCGTACATGGCGAGATCACCGTTCCTGTCGCGCATATGGCCGGACTCAACGAGAATACGGTCTGGACCTGGAACGCAATCGGCAAACGCAAGGGGGCCTGGGCGCTTGACGAAGATGCACCGGAAGCCACCAAGGGCTTCCTGTTGAACCATCTCATTCACGAGTTGCTGCCTCCAAACGGTGACGGCCTGCGCTGGTCGAATTCCGATCCGGTTACCGGTCAGGCGGCCTGGTTCGATCTCAGGGTAAAAGTTGAAAAGGTGAAAGCGCCACCGGAAAGCCAGCCGGTCTTCAGCGCGCTGAAGTCACCGGTTGGCACAGGACCCGCAACTGTTCGGCAGAAGGTGACCTCATGACCCGGCTGCCTGAAACAACACAAAAGAAACTCGGTCTTGTGATCGATCTGGACACCTGTGTGGGGTGTCATGCGTGCGTCACGGCCTGCAAAGGCTGGAACACGGAAAATTATGGCGCGCCGCTCAGTGACACGGATGCGTATGGCAGCGAACCGGTCGGAACCTTCCTGAACCGTATCCACAGCTATGAAGTCGAACCGACGGGCGGCGGCTGCAGCCAGACGGTGCATTTTCCGAAATCCTGTCTTCACTGCGAAGACGCCCCGTGCGTGACGGTCTGTCCGACCGGCGCCAGTTACAAACGCTCCGAGGACGGCATCGTTCTTGTCAACGAGGATGCCTGTATCGGCTGCGGTCTTTGTGCCTGGGCTTGCCCGTACGGTGCACGGGAGCTGGACCTTGCAGCCGGCGTGATGAAGAAATGCACGCTCTGCGTCGATCGTATCTACAATGAAAACCTGCCCGAAGAGGACCGGGTACCGGCCTGCGTACGGACCTGCCCAGCCGGCGCGCGGCATTTCGGTGATTTTGCGGATCCGGAGAGTAATGTCTCAAAGCTCACCGCAGAACGCGGCGGCATTGACCTGATGCCGGAACAGGGCACGAAACCGGTCAACAAGTACCTGCCGCCCAGACCAAAGGACCAGATGAAGGACATGGACGTCCTGACGCCCTTGATTGAACCTGTCTGCGAGGAATCCAAGGGTTTTCTTGCCTGGCTCGACAAACGACTGGAGGCGCTCTGATGCATCCGGCTCCTTCCGTTATCATCTTTACCGTGTTGTCCGGACTGGGCTTCGGCTTGCTGACCTTTCTCGGCCTCGGTCTCCCCGGAGCCACCGGTTGGGCTGCGTTTTTCTATTTCGCAGCCGGATTCGCGCTGGCCGTCGGCGGTCTTCTGGCCGCCACGTTCCACCTCGGCAATCCCCAACGCGCCCTGAAGGCCTTCACACAGTGGCAGACAAGCTGGCTTTCCCGGGAGGCCTGGCTTTCGACGGCTGCGTTGATCGTGCTGGGCGTCTATGCCTTTGCCGCTATCTTTTTCAACGCTTCGATCACGTTGCTTGGCTGGCTTGGCGCCCTTCTTTCTTTGGCGACAGTTGTCGCAACAGCCATGATCTACGCCCAGCTGAAGACCGTGCCACGCTGGAACCACTGGCTTACGCCGCTTCATCTGCTGACAATTTCGTTGGCAGGCGGGGCAATGCTTGCACAGCAGGCGGGCGCAGCGGCGGTGCTTCTCCTATTTGCCGGCGCAGTGCAGATTTTCCATTGGGTTTTGGGGGATCGACGATTTGAAGAACGTGGCCACACCATCGAAACGGCGACAGGTCTCGGAGACCGGGGCAAGGCCCGCCTCTTCGAACCACCGCACACCGGCTCGAACTACCTGTTGAAGGAAATGGCCTTTGTTGTCGGCCGCAAACACGCTCAGAAACTGCGCTTCATTTCATTTGTTGCAATGATCGTGCTGCCGCTGGTCATCGTAGTTCTTTTGCCGATGAACCCTTTCACAGCCGTCATCGCGACACTGTTCTATCTGGCCGGAGCCTTTGCATCCCGATGGCTGTTCTTTGCCGAAGCACAGCACGTGGTCAGTCTCTACTACGGCGCGTCCGGCTCCAATCCGCCCTATCAACCTAGCTTATCTCGCTGAATTTTCTTAAGGTATTTGAATGAAAAGCGAGACCAAAAGGCGCAAGATAGGTTTCCTGTTGATCGAGGGCTACGCCCTGCTGTCCGTTGCCTCCGCGATCGAACCGCTAAGGGCGGCAAACAAGCTGAGTGGCAAAGCACACTTCAGTCTCAGCTACTTTTCGCAGAATGCCGGCAAGGTGCGCGCTACCTGTGGTGCGCAGTTTGAAACCGAGCCTCTTGGGATCCTGAGCAACCAGGTCGATATTCTGTTTGTCGTTGCGGGCAACAACCTGGGAGACCATGAGGACACCACCCTTTATGCGCAGCTCAGAAAACTGGCGGCACACGGCGTCGCGCTTGGAGGCATCTCGGGCGGTGGCGCATTGCTGGCCAAAGCCGGGCTAATGGAAGACCGGCGGTTCACCGTTCATTGGGAGCACGTTGAGGAACTCAACGCCCTTTCTGACGGCTACTTCCTGGAGCGGCGAATATTCGTCGTCGACCGCAATCGTTACACATGTGCGGGCGGCGTTGCCTCGCTCGACATGATGCTTGCCCTGATCAAGACGGAACTCGGAGCGGAGCTTGCAACGACCGTGAGCGACTGGCTGGTGCACAGCGGGATGCGCAGTGCGGACGAACCGCTTCGTTCCCGCTACCTGGGCAGCAACAGCAGCCTGAACAGTTGCGTCGCGGCCGCCGTCGAACTCATGGAAAGCCATGTCACGGATCTGCTCACGCTTGACCAGATCGCGATGTTGGCGGGCGTCAGCTCCCGCAAGCTGCAGCGCAATTTCAAGTCCGATCTCAGTATCAGCGTCATGCGCTGTTACATGGACATCCGCCTGCACAAGGCCGATGAACTGCTACGCAAGACAAGAATGGCCGTCGCACAGGTTGCCTTTTCGACCGGATTTGTCGACCAGGCGCATTTCGCCAGCGTCTACCGGGAAAAATTCGGGTTTTCCCCCACGGAGCGGCGCAAGAAGACCCGTGTGTCTCCGCCGGTTGTCCGGACCGCAGTCCTTACCGAGGAATCGGAAGACACCGTGGCGCATGCGCATCACTGAACGCGGACAAAGCTTTCACGCATGCCCTCCGGCAGATCGACGCCGAGCAGCGTCAGCACCGATGCGGCAATGCCGAGCTGTGAAAGTTCTTCGGTCTCGGCAGGCGCCTTAGCATCGGAAAACAGGTAAAACGGCACTTCGGTTGCCATCGGGACCGTTCCCCCGTGCCAGTGATCGGCAGTCATGCCGTGATCAGCCGTGACGACGATGTCGTACCCGAGGGAACGCCACAGCGGTATCGCGCGCGACAACGCATTGTCGATGTGCCAGATCTGCCGGCGGTATTCCATGCTGTCACCCCCGAATGTGTGCCCGAGCGTGTCAGCCGAGCAGGAATGCAGAAGCATGTAGTCAGGCGCATGGCGCTCCATCAGCACCGTTGTCTGGGCGCAGAGGTCAATCTCCGCAGGAGCGACCGCGTTGATCGGACCATATCCTTCCATTGAATAGAACCGGCCGTACTGGATGTCGGCGGTCTCGTCTTCGTGTTCGACCGATCGCAGCCTGTCCCAGGCCTGATCGACGTAAAGCCGGTGAAAATACTCCTGGGCGACCGCACCGGTCGTTTTCCCCGCTGCGCGCACTTCGGAAAAGATGTTCGGCGACGACGACCTGCGCATGCCTTCGTTCGAGACAATGCCATGTTCGTGCGGCCATAGCCCGGTATGGATCGTTTCATACATCGGGCCTGACAGGCTAGGCAGAGCCGTGTGCATCTTCCAGCGCCTGGCCTGCTCCAGCCTGACCGCACCTTCCAGATAACCACACTCGCTGAGGACCGATGCGTAACCGGCACCATCCATGATCACGAGCAGCACTTTTCTCATTTTCCGTCTTCCCCTGGAAACGACCGGGCATCCGGCCTCTTTTCAGCATTGCCGGCACGGTTCGATCAGTCGTCCAAAAGAAATCACGTCGACCTCAAGAGAATTCGCCTTGCCATCACGATGGATGTATCGGCGTGAAATCGTTCTGTAAACGCGCATTCGACCCGTTCTCTTGCACATATGCGACACGTTCCGCGACATGTATCCCGGACATCTGTTTTCCGCGCTGTTCCCCACCTCGTTCCGGTATGTACAAATCCGCCGTTGCCAGGACGCGGGCATCTAGCCATTTGTTTTTCTGCGGTTTCACCTTGCCTTTTGCCGCATTAACCCGTATTCAGCGCGGCCATTCCAAATTCGAGACTGCATATCCTGCCCGAACTGCCGCTCGTGTGGCGGAAATGAAATCCCCACTGGAGAGAGATGCCTGCTCGTCACATTTTTGAAACTGAAGTTCATCAGAGAATGCTGAAAGTGAGACGAACTTCCGCTTCAGGTGACGAACGGATCGTGGTGCGTTTGCGCGTCGCTAAACGAGGACGGCTGAAATGACCGAAACAATCGGACTTGATTTTGGGACCTCCAACACCGTTGCGGTGGCGGCCCGGCAATCTGCGACGCAGCCCGTTCATTTTCAGGACAGGCAGGAGACATTTACCTCCTTGCCGACAGTCCTGAGTTTTCTGGATCGCGGCGCTTCCCGGGCGCTTCATCCCGAAGTCGGCCCCTGGGCGATCCGGCAATTCCTGGATAGCTTTGGCGATGTCCGCTTCATCCAGTCGCTCAAGACCTTCGCTGCCAGCCGTCTTTTCAAGGGCACGGGCGTCTATGGAGTGCGTTTCGAATTCGAGGACCTGATGGCAACATTCCTGCGCTGCGCCTTTGAGCGCGCCGGAACACGTTTCGATCCCGCCGGTACCCGGCTGGTCGTTGGCCGCCCGGTTGAATTCGCAGGTCACAATCCGGACGAAACCCTGGCGATGGAACGTTACCGCAGAGCATTTCGCAAGGTCGGTTTTGAGGACATTCTGTTCGTCATGGAACCTGTGGGAGCAGCGTTTTCCTATGCACAGTCGCTGGAAAGAGACACGACCATTCTCGTGGCCGATCTCGGAGGCGGCACCACGGACTATTCCATCATGCGGTTCGAGACTGCGGCCGGGCACCTGAAGGCAACGCCTCTGGGGCGCGGAGGCATCGGAATTGCCGGAGACACGTTCGATTACCGCATCATCGACAATGTTGTCCTGCCGAAACTGGGCAAGGGATCGGCCTACCAGAGCATGGGCAAGGTCCTTGAGATCCCGCCAAACCTTTTCTCCAACTTCGCCCGCTGGCACATGTTGTCGATCTTCAAGACGTCCGACGATTTCAAGGAAATGAAGAAGCTGCTGCGCTGGTGCCTGGAGCCGGACAAGATCGAAATGTTCATCGAACTCGTCGACGAGGACCAGGGTTATCCGCTCTACAAGTCCGTGTCCGAAACGAAAGCCAGGCTGTCGTCAGATGACGAAGCGGAGTTTTCCTTCGCCCCTCTCGGTGCGGATTTCCGGGCAATGGTCTCCCGCCAGGAGTTCGAAGGCTGGATCGCCGCTGACCTTGCCAAGATGGACAAGGCCCTCGACGCAACGCTTGCAAAGGCGGGACTTTCTGAAAACGACATCGACCGTGTGTTCATGACGGGCGGAACCTCCTTCGTGCCCGCCGTCCGCCGCCAGTTCGCCAACCGGTTCGGAACGGAGAAGATCTCCGGCGGCAACGAACTGACCTCCGTCGCCAACGGTCTGGCGTTGATCGGCGCACGGGAAGATGCCGCAGATTGGGCAGTAGCTGCTTAGTCCGCCGGCGTGTTCGCGAATTCGTCGTACAGTTCCGTGGACATTTTCCTGTAGGCGAAGGCCTTCTGAATACTACCTTCACCGCCTGAGGGAAGAATTATCGTCGGAACGTCATAGACCCTGAATTCAGCTTCAAATTGGCTCGCTCCCTTCGCGTGTTCAGATTCCTCAAAGTTGTGCAGCTCAGCAAAGAGTTTCGATGCAATGTCATCGAAAATTTCCCGATTGACCTTGTTATCCTGATCGAAGGCGATGACGAGCTTCCAAGGTGCTGAGTTTTCATGCACTACAACAAAGGCTTCGGTCATTGACTGCGGAATGCATCCCAGCAAGGCTTGGGATAGTGCAGACGTAGCGATCAGTAACGTGACGTTCAGGCCCTCGCCTTTCCTTTCCCGACCGGGTTCATGCATACCTTCAACACCTCTCGCAACTCGTTTTCTTCAACCCAGGATCGCGCAAATCCGGCGAACCGACGCCTGATAACAGGTGATGATATGTTTCCACCAAGAGCAGTCTGGTGCCAATCAACGCGCGGGACGACGCGGCGATCGGACGCTGCTCAGTCACCAATCGGCACCTCACGATCTGCGCGAAGTTCGTGCACTGGAAGCGACCTCCAGTATGACCTTGAAATAGCGTGGACCGCGGTCCCACCATTGGCCGTCTGTTATCGTCTCGCCGGCATAAAGTGCCACGTCCCCGATCAGCTCCACCCATTGACTGAACGAATACTTCCTGTCCCGGTTGAGAAGCCTGCCTGCGTTCGAGATAACCAGCAAAACGCCTGTCTCGTGGTCATCGATGACGTCACGCATGCAGTCTCTGTAAGCCGCCAGCGCGAAATCGTAACCGTTGTTCCCGGATTGGAAGTCTAGGCCCGCCCTCATCTCTTCCAACAGTTCCGGCCACGTTCTCATCAGGTTGCCGTCGAAGTCGAATTTTTGCGCCCGCCGGGCTTCGTCGACTGTCTCGATGACGTCAGCCGCGCCTGCGAGACTTTCGACCTGCAATATCGTTTGACGGGATAAGGGTGAAAGGCCTGCTGTCAGCCCTTTGATGTTTCGCTTCATCTTCTACCCGCCTGGCTCATCCAAGACTGTCATTTCCACATTGACCCGATCGCCCGCCGAAATCTTTTCAACCTTGCGCACTGCGGCCTTGACCGGCAGCAGGAAAGAGCCGGAAGCCTTGTCAGGCCAGATGGTGGTGCGCCATGTCGAGGAGCCGATGCTGGCCTTGACCCTGATCATGCCCCAGCTTTTCGCCTTCCGGCCACCAGCCAGAAAACGAATCTGGTCGGCGCATTCCACCGGCAGGGTGATGAACGTCCAGCCGCCCGGTCCGGGCGACATCCAAAGGTCACCGGAAAATTCCAATTGATCAAGCACGATGGTTCGACTTCGGTTCGAGGAAGAAGAATTTGCAACATGGCGGTAATTTCAGAGAACCAGCATCGCCGTCAACCGCCTACAGGCCTTGCAGATAGCGCTGCTGCCATTTCCTGAAAAAGAGATTGGACCGGGCGCCGGAAAACCCGACGCCCGAAGCCATCTTCAGCCAAACGCCCGACGCAGCATGGGCACCCGCTTGATGATCAGATAGTCGAGTGCAAGTACGCTCAACAGCGTCAGACCAACCAGCGGAAAAGCCAGCGACAGAAACAACATCAGGATCATTGCGCCGCGCCAATGCGGAAGATCCTCAGGTGTTTTTGGTGCAAAAACCCGCAGCGCCATGCCTTTTGGCCGGCGCAGCCACCACATCACGGCGCCGCTGACACACAGGAAGATCACCGACAGACAGACCAACGTGTTGAGGATCAGGTTCCAGAGACCCATCAGACCCATGTGCAGTGGAATGCCGACCGCCATTGCCTTGCCCGCTGCCGAGTAATCGGCAAAGGCGACATTGGCGAGGACACGGCCGGTGTACTGATCGACATGAACGGTCCTGTCGGAAAACGGGTCTTCCGCATCAGCGCTCATCGTATCCTGGTTGATCGTCCAGACGCCGGTTTCGCCCCGGGGATAGGAAATGCGATATCTTGCATTGAAGCCCAGCGCAGCGGCCAGTGTCGCAACGCTGTCGATGTCGACCGGAACACCGGGCGCTGTTCCCTCGATACCCGCCTCGGAACCGGATGCCGGCATCCGGGTCTGCTCCAGAGCCCAGGGCACCTCGGAAACCGCGCCGTGGTTCATCGCGGCATGGGTCTCGTCCGACAGGGGAACGTTGTCCCACTTTTCGGCAGGAAACGTGCTCCAGGCCTGAACGAACTTGCCGCCCCAGATGCCCGTCCAGGCCATGCCCGTGATCAGGAACGTCAGGAGCAGCACGGAAACATAAATGCCGAAGTTCACGTGCAGCGTTTTCAGAAGCGCTCGTCCCTTCTGGGTCAGGTCCGGAACAAGGGCTCTCACGAGAGAAACATCGCGCGGCCACCAGAGGTATAGTCCGGTCACGATCAGGACGAGGGAAAGACCCGCCGCGATTTCAAGGAGCCGGTCTCCGGGCGTCCCCAGAAGAAGATCGCTGTGAATGCCGTCGGCGAAGTCGTACCAACCCTGACGCCGGGACCAGCTTTCCACGATGTTGCCGGTGTAGGGATCGACGGCAACCATTTCCTGCGCGCCGTCCTGATTGATCCGGAAAACCGAAACGCTGCCTTCCGACCGCCCCTTCAGCCACTCCACAGGTGTGCCGCCCTGACGGCTTACAAGGGCGGCGTTGGCCTGATCCGAAATGGAGAGGACAGTGCTGTTTGCCGGAACCGGAACGGCAATCCTCTCACCATCACGGCCGTCAAAATAGCCGATATACATCATCATCAGACCGGTGACAGCGAGAACAGTCAGGAACGGAATGGCGAAAAGACCGGCATAAAAGTGCCAGCGCCAGGCCGCCAGATAGAAACGGCTGGGCGTGGACGCATTATTGGCGTCCGGAGAAAAAGTGCTCATGGGAACTCCATTGAAAACCTGCTGCAACGGGTCTCTGCCCGGCAGGTTTCAGATACGATCGGGGGTTTTGACTGGAGGTTCAGGCCCCATGAGGAGGTGCGCGCGCACCCAGTGAGCCGGCAATCGTGGTGGGCAGCCAGATGCCGTGATGTCCCGAATTCGATACACCAGAGATATGGGGCCGAAAGTCGAAACCGGTTGCTTGCGGAGTGTCGAGAAACGCGCCGACACCCGCAAAAACACAGTGTCCATGCGCGAGTGAACTATCTTCGTCATCTTCCGACGGCGCAGGAATTTCCAGACCATTGGCGTCCAGAGTTACCGTTCGCAACCCGTCCGTGGTACAGAGCGTAACGGTGAACCCACCATCCGCCTGGACAGCAGGCATGAAGCCCTGAGGCACGAGTGCGGTGAACAGGAAGGGCAGCAACAGCAGCGCCATGCCTGCTGTTCTCAAGTCCGGAAATTTTAGCCGGAAGTGCCTCACACCCGAATGCCCCTTTCAAGATGCTCAATTCTTTAGGTCAGATTCCGGAGAAAAACAAATCCTGTCATCCAATGTGTCTGTTTCGACCAATGGATGTCGTTTTCTCGCTTGATCCGCCAATAGCGCTCCCCTAGATTGCCGCAACTTGACGGCGTCCTATCAGGGACTGAAAGCGATTCTGGATGCGGTTGACCCACTCAGGGGACCAAGGCCGGAGCTGTCCGAAGCAACGCGATGTTTGGCTGATTCAAGATCGGCCAACGTTGGTTGCATGCTTTCATCTCCCTGTTTCGCGGTCATTCAACTGCCGGTTCCGGCACCTGCCTTTGGGAGATGAATTATGATCAACCGGATTGTCCTCGCCAGCCTCGCTGCAGTTCTTTTGCCCTCGGCAGCCTTTGCGCATGGTGGTCACCTGGGTGAACTTGCCGGACACGCGCACTGGATCGGCGTTGCAGCTCTTGCCGGGGCCGCTCTCGTTGCAGGCGTCGTCGCTTTGAAAGACCGCAAGAAACAGGACGTTGACGACGCAGCCGAAGCAGATGGTGCAGAAGAAGACAACGCCGGTGAAGCCGCTCAATGAGCGGAACACCGGTCTGGGAGCAATACTTGGCAGATCGACCGACACCAGCATACCGGTACGAAAAGGACCCGTCGGCGATCTATCGTCAGTCCTTTTCCATTGTGCGTGACGAAGCGGATCTCTCCTGTTTGCCGGAGGAATTGCACCCGATCGCCGTGCGCCTGATCCATGCCTGCGGGATGTCGGATCTGCCAACTGAACTGGCCTGGTCGGATAAGGTGCTTGAAGCGGCAAACGACGCCTTCCGGAATAAGGCACCGATCCTGTGCGACGTCGAGATGGTGGCGCATGGCATCATCCGTTCCCGTCTGCCCGCGGGAACTGATGTCGTCTGCACTCTCAATGATGAACGTGTTCGGGAGTTGGCAAAGCACCTTGGCACGACCCGCTCTGCTGCCGCCGTTGAATTGTGGACGGACCGCCTGGAAGGTGCCGTCGTCGCAGTTGGAAATGCGCCGACGACGCTGTTCCATCTCCTTGAAACGATCGCCTCGGGTGGCGCCATGCCGGCTCTTGTGCTCGGATTTCCGGTTGGATTTGTCGGAGCTGCCGAATCCAAGGACGCCCTGATCGAGAACCCGTTCGGCCTGCCGTTTCTGGCCCTCAGAGGCCGACGCGGCGGCTCTGCGATGGCAGCTGCGGCGGTCAATGCTCTTGCTGCCGGCCTGCCGGAAGAAAGTTGAGATAGCGGTGACCGAAAACAAAAAGGGCCTGAGATCGACAAACACCGGCAAGCCGATGCGATCGCGCGGGTTTCTGTCCCGCCCCGGCGGTGGGGCTCAAGACAGTGCAGATCACACAGGCGGTCACGCTGGCGAAAAAACAATGTCGCGCGGGACAAGACAGGTTTCAGCCACTCTCGACGGCAGGCCGAAATCCCTTTCCTCGAAGACAAAGATCAAGCCCTATCATCTGGAGGACAAATGACCTCTCCCTGGCTGACCCTGATCGGCATCGGTGAAGACGGCGTTCTGGCTCCGGGAGGACAGGATGCACTCGTGCGCGCGGAAATCGTCTATGGCGGATCCCGTCACCTCGACCTGGCAAGTGTCGGATCTGCCGAGAAGAGAACCTGGCCATCGCCCTTTGCATCGGTTTTTGAAGACCTTTCACAATTGCAAGGAAAACGCATCGCGGTGCTGGCAACCGGCGATCCGATGTGGTTCGGCATAGGGTCATCGCTGGTCAGGCGTTTCGGTGCCGATCAGCTGAGAGTGTTTCCGTCCCTTTCCGCCTTTCAGCTTGCCGCCTCGCGATTGGGATGGCCGGTGCAGGACTGCGAGTGCCTGTCGGTTCATGGCCGGCCCGTCGACCTGTTGCGAAGCGCACTCTATCCAGGTGCCCGGCTTCTCGTCCTGACAAGCAGTGCGGACACACCGCGTGAGGTTGCGGACCTGTTGGCGGATGAGGGCTATGGCCAGACCCGGATGACCGTTCTGGAACATCTTGGCAGCGAAAAGGAACGAAAGGTTGCCTCGACCGCTGAAGACTGGTCCTGCGAAGTCGCTGCCTTTCATACACTTGCCCTTGATGTTGTCGCCGAACCGGGAACCCACTTCCGGCCGCGGACGCCCGGACTGTCCGACGAAGCCTTTCACCATGACGGCAAGATGACCAAGCAGGACGTTCGCGCTGTCACGCTGGCTGAACTGAAACCGCATCCCGGTGCGGTTCTCTGGGATATCGGCGCCGGTTGCGGTTCCGTTGCCATTGAGTGGCTCAGGGCCGCGAACCGGACACAGGCGTTCGGACTTGAACCTCTTGCCGAGCGCCGGCAGATGGCCATGGACAATGCCGTCGCTCTGGGTGTCCCCCATCTGAAGCTGATCGACGCAACCGCGCCGGAGGGCCTCCAGGGTCTGCCCGAACCGGACGCCGTTTTCATCGGTGGAGGTCTGACGGTGCCCGGCATCATCGATGCTGTGCTCAAGGCGTTGCCCCACGGAGGTAGGCTCGTCGCAAATGCCGTGACGCTGGAGAGCGAAGCCGTTCTGCTTGCGGCCTATCGGACACTTGGAGGAAACTTGAAGAAAATTTCCATACACCGCGCAAGCGCTGTCGGCGGTCTGACCGGCTGGCGCCCGCTCATGCCGGTGACGCAATGGAGCCTGACCAGATCATGAGCGGAACACTTTACGGCATCGGTCTGGGCCCCGGCGATCCGGAACTTATGACCCTGAAGGCACATCGGCTGATTGCGTCGGCAAAAGTTGTTGCCTATCCGGCGCCGGATACGGGCGAAAGTTTTGCCCGCTCCATCGCCGCCGGCACTATCCCCCATACTGCACGAGAAATTCCAATTGTCGTGCCGATGCGTGTCGATCGTTTTCCTGCCCAGGAGATTTACGACAAGGCATCGGAAGAGATTGCAGCAGTTCTTGCAACCGGCGAAGACGTCGTAACACTGTGTGAAGGCGATCCGTTCTTCTACGGTTCCTTCATGTACCTCTTCGACCGTCTGTCCGATCGCTTTGCGATTGAAATCGTTCCAGGTGTCACGTCGCTCACAGCCTGTGCGGCCCAGCTCCAGCGTCCGCTGACGTCGAGAAACGATGTTCTTACAGTGATCCCGGGACCGTTGCCGGACACCGAGATCGAACAGAAAATCGCGGAAGCACAGGCAGTCGCCATCATGAAGGTCGGACGCCACCTTTCCCGTTTGAGGGCTCTGCTTGGCCGGATGGGTCTTCTGGAAAGAGCCGGCTATGTGGAACGCGCCAGCCTGGCTGAGCAAAAGGTTCATCGCCTCATTGACCTTGAGGCCGAAACCGCCCCTTACTTTTCCATGATCCTCATCTACAAGGGAGACGAAGCGTGGACGCTTCCCCCATCCTTTTCGTCCTGAACGAAGCCGGTCTGGACACAGCCGAAGACGTTGCAAAGCGCTTTTCAACTGCGCGCATTCACGGCCTGGCGGGCCGCGTCCCAACGGCGGATACGCAGTTCAATGAAACCATTGAACATCTGCAACTGCTATTCAGGGCCGGTCATCCGATAGTCGGTTTCTGCGCCAGCGGCATCCTGATCCGCGCACTTGCACCGATCCTGTCGGACAAGCGCAACGAGCCGCCAGTCATTGCGGTATCGGAAGACGGTTCCAGCATCGTTCCGCTGCTCGGCGGACATCGCGGTGCAAACGAACTTGCCAGGATCCTGGCAAAGTCCCTGGGTGGCCACGCAGCGATCACCACGGCGGGTGATACGAAACTCGGTATTGCCCTCGACGTTCCGCCAAAGGGATGGATCCTTGCCAACCCGGAAGATGCAAAACCGGTGATGGCCGAACTTCTGTCCGGCGCGGATGTTCGCATAGAAGGCCAGGCGGACTGGTTGCTGGAAGCCGAGCTCAACCAGTCCGACAACGCATCGATTGCGCTGGCAGCAACCGAAAAACCGGTAGAAGGAAGTCCCACCCGGCTTGTCTACCACCCGCAAAAATATGCGGTTGGTGTCGGCTGTGCCCGGCACTGCGATCCGGCGGAACTCATCGGCCTTGTCGAAGGCCGGCTCGCGGAAGCCGGGATCGCCCGGGGTGCAGTCGCCTGCGTCGTGACCATCGATCTGAAAGCGGATGAAGCCGCCGTCAACGACCTGGTCAATTATCTCGGCGTGCCGCTGCGCGTCTTCTCCGCCGAGGAGCTTCAGCGTGAAACGCCGCGCCTCAAAAACCCGTCCAACATCGTTTTTCAGGAAGTTGGTTGCCACGGCGTTTCGGAAGGGGCGGCGCTGGCAGCGTCCGGTGCCTTCGGCGCACTTGTCGTTGAAAAACAGAAAACCGAAAGTGCCACATGCGCCATCGCGCGCGCGCCCCAACCGATAGACCCGGCCACCATCGGCAGATCCCGGGGACACCTTTCGGTGATCGGCATAGGACCCGGCAAGGACGAATGGCGGACGCCGGAAGCCACGCGGCTCCTGTCTGCTGCAACG